AGAATTTGGACCAGAAATGTAATATGACTTCACAGAGCATCACTAAAAGTAGGATTAACTCACCCTCCTGTACTTTAGGTCCAGATCAAAAGATCATTTCAGCTGCTGTCTGGAGAATAAACTGGGGTGGGCAGATTCACATGAGAACTGAAAGTATTAGCTTGGACTCAAATGATAAGAGTGGAGATGATGAAAGTTGGTCAAACTCTGAATGTGTTTGGAAGGTATTGGTGACAGCATTTTCTGGCCGTTTGGATGTAATATGAGAGAGAGGGATCAGTGGGTAGAGAAGTCAAGGATAACCCCATAGATCTAGAAGTGGGCAACTGGAAGGGTAGAGCCCCTATTCACTGAGATGGAAAACTGGAGAAGGAGCAAGATTTAGAGAAAAAATTCAGCTTGTATTAAACATGTTATGTTTGACCTACCTCTTAGATAGCCACGAGGATCTGTTATTTGGTCACTTAAAGTTGGGGGTCATCAGCATATAAATTTAATGTGTTAAGTATGTTTTTTGTGTTCTTCTGTTATAATATGTATTCTCTTTATTTTGTTTTTTTTAATGTGGTGCTGAGAATCGAACCCAGTGCCTCACGCATGCTAGGCGAGCGCACTACCACTTGAGCCACATCCTCAGCCCCTTATATTCTCAATAATATTTTTAAATTAGTGTGTGTTAGCTTTAAGCCTTCCCTGTTTCTTTATTCATTCATTCATTTCCCCCAAATTTTTATCAGCTATTTTTTATGTGCTAGGAATACAATTTATGTTAAGTCTTGATTTTGGCTTCCTAGGATTCACTGATAGTCAGTTGTCTGATATAGTATAACAGTTAATTGAAAAATGTCCAAAGTGCTGTGGAAGTACAGAGCCCTTAATTTTACCAGTATCAGGAGACAATTTCCATAATTAAGTTTCACAGAGGAAGTAACATTTGAAGTAGCTTTGAAGGTTACAGAGGCTTTACCAAGGAGGTAAGGCAGAAACGGGCATTCCAGGTAGAAAAATAGCATTAAGAAGAACAAGGAGATTTAAGAATGCAGATTCTATTTTAAAATGTATCCTATTTCAAAAACTGTAGCAGATGGAACATATGTTTTCTTATACTACAAACAAACTAAAAAGACATTTTCCAAAAATTATAAACACAAAAATATAATTAAATTTGGGGCAATTTTGAGGACATTTTCTAATTAGCAGATTAGAAATGCTGCAGGGGTAGGTAGGCAGTGAAAAATTCAACAAGAAACAAATCAATTCATAACACAGAACTGCAGGAAATACCATGAATTGGAGACATTCAAGAGTGGGAGTTGTGTCTACTGGTGCTGAAAGCAGAAGGGTTGGCTAAGAATTAGTGTAAGGAACAGCTGTGTTTCCAAATCCCCTACCTAAATTGTACAGCAAGAAATTGGGCAAAATGCAATGAGGTTGTTGGTGGGTGATGTGGTGAAATGTACTTAAGAGTTATTTAATAATGTCAAAATGATTAATTGTAAAAGTAGGAGAAAGAGAAGAATAACTCGGATATTTATGTGGACAGTAGGAGATAAAGTGAGAGAAAATGCAGAGGAAAAAAGAGACTTTAGGGGAAATGATGATGTCAGTTTAAGGTAGATTTTCTTTGAGGTATTGCGGATGTCAGGTAGATTTATCCATTCTATTTAACTTTAGCAAAGTTACAATAATGCGTAGAAAGAAACGCAGTAAAAGCTGAGGAGAAATGTGTAATCTGGAATTATAGATTAGTTTTAAATGATCTACAGATACAGTTGAGGTTTACAAAAGGAGAAAACTTCCTAGGGGCAGTTCATAAAGTAAATATGGAATAACCAAGAGTGGAATCCTGGAGCACACTAACATTTAAGTGAAATAGAGGAAATGGTAAAGAGACAGAAAAGGGGAGTCAGGAAGATAAGCCAAGGGAGAAGGATTTCAAGAAAAGACATGGTTGTTCATGAAGTAAAAAACTAAAAGAATTGGCAGGAAGCCAGTGACTTTGAAAGATCTTCAGAGAAGTAGTAGCGGTAGAAACAGAATCACTGTGGGTTGGAAATGTGAGTGGAAATTGAAGTAATTGACCACTTTGTGGAATTTATATTTGAAGGAGAATGGAAGATGAAATCTAAAGAATGTAGCAGAATCCAGGGAACATTTTCTTGAAGAATGTGAAAAGGTGAACATTTCTGTTGGATAAGAGGAATGGTCGAGTAGAAAAGGAGAAATTGAAAGTATGCCCAGAGAAGCCATGGTGATGGAAAAAGATGTTTGAGGGAATGGAATTTACCATACAGGCTAGATGGGTTAACTTTGGAAAAATGCTAGAGCATTTCTCATACAAGAAAATATTTAACAGAATACTAAAGCACAAGAACGGTTTATCAGTATCTTTGTAGACCAAGAACAGGACAAAGCCCAAGGTACATTTTGTTGGCAACTACAGGTTGGAATAGATTGCTCCTTATTTCAGCCCAAGTAAGGAGAGGGGATGAGAAGTCAGCAGGGAACTATGAAAAAATGTGCCATTGAACAAGGAAATATAAATAATTTTTATAACCCAGAGAAAGAGTTTAAAAAAGTATTATAGGAACTAGGAGAAGATGCATATTTGGTCCCTTGTAATCCCCGCCCCCTCTTTTTTTTCTCTGTTGGCAGTGCTAAGGGTAAGACTAAGTCAAGAACAGACAAGCAGAAAGTCAAAGGCTAAGGTGAAATAGGTTGATACAAAAAAAGGGGGGGGTAATACTAACAGTATGATATATAAGAAAGGATTATAGGGAAACTAAAAATGTATAATAGTTAAATTCTAACTAAAGGCAGTAAAGAGTAGAAAATCAAAATTAGTAATTGGAAAACTGATAATTTATCCCAGAATGTGGAGAAAAGAAAAGAAAAAAGATTAAAGAATTTAAGAGTTGGATAGATTCAGAAGACCAGGAAGACACAATATAAAAAATAGAAGCACTGACAAAGAATAAAACAGAACAGTTGCAATAAAAGCAAAAGTCAAAGACAGAATATAAGAAATATTCTATAATAAGCACCCCCACCACCAAAAAAAAAAAAATCTTCTGTCTGCAAAGAAAAATAATTTGGATAGCTACCAGCCACACTAAATACCAAATACTAAATACCTAAGGCAGTAGAACAGTCTTTACCTCTGCATGTAAATGCAACAGAAAGACATTCTTAGATATATGGGGGCTAGAAAATGTACTCATCTCTCCTCAGCCACAAAAAGTCGTTTTGAAAACTTAGTAGGAGCTCTCTGGAAAGCTGACTCAAACTTTAAAGCTCAAAAAGGGAAATAAATACTTTTATATCAGAACAAGTCAGAGTCAAAATTAATTTGACTGTAGATTAACTAAATGAAATTTTCTAGAGTTAAATGTAGGTAATTATAAAATATAATTTAAGAAAGTTGTGGTGAGGGTATAAATGAGAAGAATGCTATATTTCTCTTAATTTATGAGGGCATCATAAAATACCTTTGAAATATAGATACTGATAGGAAAAATATAACAATAACAAGCTTCCCTATTGTGTGAGCAGCATTCTTCTCTTATGGGAGAAAAAGCAACTAGACTTCTAAAATTCTACTCATAGTAGAAGTTAATACAGTTTCAGGAAGGCAGAATGGTAATATGTATCAGGAGCCTAAAAATAATCATAAAGTTTGAATGCCAGTGAGTCCACTATTTAATAACTTAAGGAAATAAGAGAGCCTCAAAAAATTTGAAAACAACATTCAGAAAAGTGAATAAAATTATGGCATATCATAAAATATTCTTCAGATATTAGAAACTATTTTTAATATAACCTGAAGTTATTCTCTTTGCAACTGAAAAAGTATAGGAAAAATACATATTTTAGTTTTGTTTTGTCTACAGGTAAAAGACAAAACTTTCATTTTGTTCTTTATACCTCTACATTTTTTAAAATCTTCTACAATGATCTGCATTGCTGTTGTATTGAGGGAAACAAATTATTTTAAAATTAAATAATAAAAATATTTAAGGTAATTGAGACCATAAATGGCAGAAGCCATTCTCATTAATGCAAAAACAGAATCATTGAGGTTTTGGTTATTCATTACTTACTTTTTAAATTTTGTAAACTCAATCTTAAGTACACCTGGCAGCAAATCCCAGAATAGCATAAGACCTATAGCAGGTGAAACTAAATAATATGTCACTGGTGATTAAGTATATGTATGTATGTAAGTGATAAAAGAAGTTTTCATCATTGTTTTATGCATTGAAATGATAAACACAGAAAGCTCAGGGATGCATTTATGGGACTGAACAGGAAGAACAAATAGGCAGAGGTAAGGTATTGGGATGTTCTGATTCCTCACTTCTTAGGTGTTCATTTCTTTTTTTTTTTTTTTAATTGTTTTTATTTTTTAAATACCTGACAGCGGAATGCATCATATATATATATGTTGGATAATGATGTCCATAGGTGTTCCAGCCTTTGCTAATTATTTTATATATATTTGATGTTGACTTTTTTTGCATTCCCATTGCTTTGCACATAATGTGAATAGTAGTTATTAAAAGAACAAATTAATGACAATAAAAAGAACATATATTACTAATTTTTATTATTATTGTTATTTTTATTATATGTACAGACTGTCTGCATTTTGTAGCCTACTCTCCCTTACAGCTGTTTACATGTATTTATGAATTACCCTTTAGCACATAAACAAATGTTATATCTGCCTTGTGAGTTCTCACCTGGCAGTGTCTTTGAGCCATGTTTCTTCTAGGATCTGACAGTTTAAGGACAAGGCAAGTGGAAAGGATCCATTATATCCCCTCCAAGGGAGTCAGTTCTCCAGCGGTCCAGAAATTGTAACATGTAATTATTTTTCAGGAGTAAAAGAAACACTGTGTGCTCATCATTTTTACCTCTTTCCCAGAAGACTGAGTTCATTTGTTGGCCTTTTATCACTATACGCATGTTCTTCCCTAAATCTATTTTTTGCAATTTAGGTCTGCGTTTCTTGGTTCGCCTCTGCACAGATATTGGATTAAAAGAAGTTCAAGAATATGCCACAAAACTCAAGAGATTGGAAAAAATGAAAGAAATAAGGGAACAGGTATCTCATATGGACCGAAAATCGTTGTCTGTTCGTTTTCAAAATGTCATCCTGCTATAGGTGAAAAATATGACATTAGTAGCTTCTGTCAAAAATCAGAGTTGAAATTTTCTTCTGCCCTGTCATAAGATGAGGAATAACTGAAATTTTTGTTTTAGGATAAAATTCTATCAGAAGTGGGTTTCCAATAGAAGAAAGAAAACTGGATTCTGTGTAGTCTTTAGTGGAAAGCTATTAACAAATATTGTAAATTTCCACAGCATGATATAACTTACAGGTTAATTTGAAGGCTTGTTTTAATTGGAGAGTCCTGCATCCCTTGAGAGGCAACCACTTGTCTACAACAATAGTCATTTTTCCTTAAATATTTTTAATATAATGGAGTTTGGCTCTGAGAATAACTTTAGCACACACTGAAGCATTTTTAAGTCGTTTCTATATTCTGTGCAGTATGTAGAATAGCAGTGTTCTTATTTTACTACTTTAAAGAATCATCTACAAAGTTTGAGCCTAGACTATTTAAAAGTTTAATGTGGGGGTGGGGATGTGGCTCAAGGGTAATGCGCTCGCCTGGCATGCGCGGGGCGCTGGGTTCGATCCTCAGCACCACATAAAATAAAATAAAGGTGTCCACCGAAAACTGAAAAATAAATATTAAAAAAATTATTTAAAAAAATAGATAAATAAAAGCTTAATGTGAATTCTGAATATTTCCTTTTATAGAAAAAGTAAGTTCTTGAAACTGATATTGCTATATTAGAAAAAATTCTAAATAAGAAATTAAATTATTTTTTCTTAAATTGTGAAAATATGCTGACAAAGGACTATTTAAAAATAAAATTATCTTGGATATAGAGAAAATCTAAATTGTGTTTTTGTTTTCAAAATACAATTGTTGTATTTGATTTTAAGATGCAATCTTATGGGCTGGGGTTATGGCTCAGTGGTGGAGCGCTTGCCTACATGTGTGAAGCACTGGGTTCGATTCTTAGTACCACATATAAATAAAGTCCATTGACAATTAAAATAATATTTTTTTAAAAAAAGATGTAATCTGATAATTCTCTTGTAAAGGTATCCAGTTGTAAAAAGATTATGGGCAAACAGATTTTTTTACTTTAATAACTCTAAAATATCAAGTTGGTTTAAAATGCTAACGTAGGGTATATATTAAAATGTGCTATAATGGCCAATATAATTCCATATACCAAATACTAATTAATTAGATAACTTGTATGAAAGCTTTGTAAAATGTAAACTGATATTAACTGAAGTTCAAATGATCATAATTGTCATAATTGCTATTGAATGTGTTTCATTAATCAGAATCAAAAATGAATATATATATATATAAATAATATGTATATATTATATATATATATATCTTTTTTAATTATTAGAGCTTTATGTGTAGTGGTTGGGTTCATCCTCATACAGAAGTCGATTTTAGTTCATGATTCCCCTTTTCCTTCCCATCCTTTCTCCCTTCTATATTTCAAACCTAGAACGTTTTTTGGAACTCAGTTCATTATCATGTAAAATTCTCTAATATAGAACCCTAAATGTGCAGAGTCAGATTCTTCAGACTTTACAAGTTTAAGGATTATTAGTTTTAGTTAAACTGAAGAATGAACAAACTACTACAAATAGGGATCATGCATAACACACTTCTTACAATTTATAACCTTAAGATGATGGTATATGCATTAGCGCCTGTGATTTAGTAGACTTCTAATGTTGACCCCTTTTTTTTGGTACCATATTGTTTTACTCATAAAGATACTCTCATGTATAAGTGCCAATCTATAAATTTGAATTATGCACATAATATTATCAGTATGGTAATCTAATAAAATCTAAGCTTACACAGTCCCATCTATTTTCAGATTGCTGCAAAATGCAATCAGAATACTACTTATTTTTTCTTTCATATGTAATTGCATTGGCTGTCCAAAGGAAGAATTTTGTCAACAATTTATAAACTAAAAGAAAAATTTAAAAAAAAATGGATGACGTTTTCACTTTGCAGATTCAGTGAAGTGTGGTTTTGGCTTCAAAAACTGGTTTACTTAAATCAAAATTTACAAAAATTATGAAAATATATTCATTTGTTAAATATGTTATTTAGCACAAACATTAAATTTTTTACAAAGCAAAAATTTTAACTTTAGAAAACAGATTAAAATAATTTGCTAAACATGTTTAATCAATATAGTAATTTTGATCTTTATGAAAACCTTTTTTTGTGTTGACCTCTTTTAAACAGTGAGAGGTAGCCTTTTAACTAACTCCTTAGGAACTTCTTTGCAACCAGTTCACAAAGAATCTTAATGTAAACTTAGGATTGATTCCAGAGAATTCCTGGGAAATGAGCTTGAAGGACTAAGATGAAAGCATCCTCCTTTAAGTAGAATTACTTCTTAAAATTTTTTAGCATTTACCATTAACACAATTTTCCCACTCTTAGTTGTATCATAGTTGAATCAGTAGAGATATTGTTCTCTCCTTCTGATTTTTATAGGGTTTGGGTCCAAACTTTACCTTTTCTTCTTCCCTTATCCTCTTTGCTTTATTATAGTCTCTCTATATAGTTTTAAACTTTTTTTTAATCTGACTACTTTGGACTAATATTCATAAGTGCTAATGAAATTTATTATATTTTAATGAATAATGTCATTGAAACTTTTGCTTTCCCTTGCTACTTAGACTCCTTATTACTCTTCCATTAAAATATTTATATGTTCATTAATCAGGTTTTATCTATTATTCTCATACACCTAGAATCTTTTTATATTCATCTGTACTGTGAAAAATAAAACAACCAATTTTTGGTAAAAATAATGGTTTCTTCTGAGAATGTATGCAAAAAGGAATTAGAACTTGTGCTTGTTAATTATTAGCAAGCCTTGTTTTCATTGGGATGGTATAATTGTTAGGGACAACTATATTTTAAGAAGAATATTTAAGGGGTTGAGGGTGTAGCTCAGTGGTAGAGTGCTTGCCTAGCATGTGTGAGGCAGTAGGTTCAATTCTCAGCACCATATATTAAGAAAGAAAGAGAGAGAGAGAGAGAAAGTAAGTTCCATCAACTACTAAAAAATATATATATATTAAAAAAAAAAAAAAAAAGAAGAGGCTGGGCATGGTGACACACTCCTGTGATCCCAGCGACTCAGGAGGCAGAGGTAAGAGGATCGCAAGTTCAGAGCCAGCCTCAGCAATTTGGTGAGGCGCTAAGCAACTCAGTGAGTCCCTGTCTCTATACAGCTAGGAATGTGACTCAGTGGTTGAGTGTCCATGAGTTGAATCCCTGGTACTCACCACAAAAAAAAAAAAAAAGGAAGAATATTTAAAATACCTGGGAACAAATCATTTTCAGGGACCACCCCCCAGGAATTTTAGAAATATCCATTTTTCTACAAATAAATGTCTTATTAATTACCAATAAATGTTTTATTAATTGCAAATAAAAACTAATATTCTACTCACTAAATAATTTCCTAGTGGCTTTATAAAGACTGCTTTAGTGAACTTACATGATTTACCCTTGATATAATTAAACTATCCAATGTTTATCTCCTTACATCTCTCTATACTTATATTTACTTCTTTGCATAATATTTTATCACTGGTCTCATTAAAATTTATATAAAACCCAATGCCACTTGGATGTATCCTCTCATTATTACAGCTTTTCCTTAGTATTTCGTGCTCAAAGTTTCTTATACCTTAGTCATTTGGGGGGGGGGGTTCTTTTGAGTTATGCATGACAGTAGAATCCATTTTGACATAATTATGCAAGCATGGAATATATCTTGTCCTAACTCAGACCTTAGTCTGTCTTTGGAATTAAAGTCATAGTCCAAATCTACAAAGTACTAAAATAAACATTGAGTCTCTCTTTTCAATTTCCTTGAAATCTACTTGGTTTCTTGGACTTCATAGTCAGTGGCATTTTCCCTTTTCTCCCTTTTCCTTAAATTGTTCTATTCACATTTAAGAGTTTTTTCTATATTCATTATTGCATCATAAATAATAAAAACATTTTCTTGAGGTTTTTCTCATCTAAGTTTTGCTTATAAACACGGTCAAGGGGGATCAATGAAAAAGAAAGGTGCTAGGAAGAAGAAAAGAGGCTTAAAGAGAAAGAATGCACACATCAGGTAACTCTTGTCCATCCCATTTCTATTTGTCTTTCCCAGATAGTGAGCCTATGTGGCAATACATTCTGTTTCCTGGCCTATGTAGGGTATAAAACGTTAATTATAATGCTAAATATAATAAACATTGGAATTAAGGATTCTCTCCTTTTCTAAATTTGAACCTAAAGCTTCCTGTTACCTTTTTTGTTTATTTCTTCTTATCTTTCTGTTTCTTGTTTAGAGCAAATCCTGATGCAGAAGCTTAAACATTTTTCCTATATAATTAAAATTTCTTCCAAACATTATTATTAATGTCTATATAATAGCTTATTATACAGATATATTTAGACTTATTTAAACGTTTTCACTTTGTTAGACAATCAGATGCCTTTTTAATATTTGATAATTTTCTGTGATCAGTCTAGTTTTCAGATGTTTCTTGTTAAAGTTTGTGGCCCCAATGATTATTTATAGGTGAGCTCTTCCATGTTGTTGGATTGAGATATTTTATGAAATAGTCATGTTTTGAAACCAGAGATTTTTCTAAATAATAACATTCAACCTTTATCTGGAGCTGCTACGGAACACAGAAATGACCCTCAGTCTTTCTGCCTTTCTTTTCTCTTTCCTTCTGCTGGTAAGGTAGAAATTTGGCAGCAGAAAGGAGAAGCTGAAGTGAAGAACCTGGGTAACATATTCCTGAGTAATGTTAGCAGTCTTTGTTTTTCTAGTAGCAGCTTTTCCATTAATTCCACTTTATTACATCTGCTTAACTAGATGTAATTAATTAGTAATAACAATGAGGGCCCCAGGGATGTTACCTCAGTGGTAAACTGCATGCATGAGGCCCTGAGTTCT